ATGCATTCCGTTTGGCCGGCTTACGGCACCAAAGGCTCGTTTCGCACACGAGGTGCGCGGTGACCCTTTGGTCTCCGGCCGTCTTCTGCTTGATGTATTCCCGAGAACGGAATCGATTAATACGCGCGATTGCGGACGCAACGAGCCGCTTCCAAGACCGCACACACACAGACACACACCATAATGGTCAAACGACAGTACTTCCAGATCCTTTAAGCCTGACCGTGTCTACCACTCGCAGACAAATGAAATTAATACGAGAACAGACACGCGGGAATATTTATTGTGCCGCGATATAATAGATCCACTGAAATATGAGATATTTTATTGTTGTTTTTTTTGTGCGCGTGCGTTGAAATACGATATTAATATTATTATTATATTATATACATATTTTACGTAATGTTTGATACGTCGAATATGCGCGTACTGTCTTCTATAGATTTTGTATAATTAACAGCCGTGGTACGTAAACTAATGTTAAAGGTACCGATTTGAAATAATTGTTTCGTTCTCTTGGATCATTAGTGTGCATCTGGAATAACGCATAATGGATAACTAGACACGAGGATAAACCATTAATTGCCACAATTACGGAAGCAGTTATTGAGATAGACCGGGTTGTTCGTTTCTCAGTCAGAAGCAGGTCCTCTCTTCATTCCGTTTCGCGGACATCGCAACAGTACGAGGCAATCATGTTCCACGTGCAATAGGAGTTATTACTTTGCTTCTGCCGTGCAATTGCAACTCCGAAGACGCCAACGTCTCTGTAACTCGAGCTAATACCCGCCGCGACTGCAAAGCGAGAAATTCTGAGAAGCGAGCCGTTGCACATTGTGCATTTGCGTTGTTACTCGCGCGAAAATCTAATCTCTTGTGAGATAACTAGCGAATAAAACAGTTTTTATAAAACCACTTGAGTGCGAACGTTCCGAAGTGCTTTTCTAATCTATTCCACGAACTATCAGACAAACAAATGTAAATTGTTTAAAAATTTATCAAGAATGGAAAAAAATGTTTCTACATATCAAATTACTTGAGGTTACTTGTAAATATAAATTGGAAATTATCTAAATTCCTATTTCTCTCTGTCTTATCTCGAGTACAACGAACCATTGAAGTGTACGTGCGCGATTTTGCGGGGCAACTGTGTGCGCTCCTACCATAATATCCTATATTATTCTACGAACATCTGTGAGATGTGAGTGTGCGAGACCATTGTCTTACGCGCTTGTGCACGCGCAACAGGATTCCGGATGGTCAGCATTGTATTGTTCGGTTCAAATAATGTAATTTGCTGATCTCTCTCTGAATCATTTAATTTCGCAAAAGCCAAACCATTTGTGTAATTATGGTACATTAATATAAACGACGCGCGTTAAATAACATATAATAATAATAATGAGCTAAAAAATAAAATTAAAATAAGAATTAAAATAATCTTTGTGCGTACGTGTGAGAAAGAAAGCGAGAAAAAGAGAAAAACTTGTTTTTACACTTTACATAAAAGACGTTTAAACGAAATAAATAAATTTCAATTTTGTTCAACAATAAATTTTGCTTGTTTTACGGACTATATTGATTAATTCAACTTGACACGATTCGCCGATGGTGGAGTTAAAAAAATGTCTGTAATCAAATGCGACATACGAGTTGTTCTCCGGTCTGAACACACATAAGCTACGGATCCATCGAACGAATCTCGTTCGTATGCACTGACCGATGCGCAATCGCTTTAGCGTTTACGGATGACAATCACGTAAACATGTCAAGCGGAGCACAATGAATTTGAATTTTCGTCGATGCAAAAGTTTCCGCTTGCGACGAGACAGCCAGAGCGGTATTAATTAATACCACGCGCTACCGCCACATTCCGCAGATTTCCATCGAGAAGCTCCATGAGAATAAGACAATTGTCTCGCGCATAGCAGCTCCGCTGCCGAGGATTATCGCGATTACCTTGCTCGAGACAAAATTTACATCGCTGCGAATGTAAAATTTACAATCGCATTAATGTCGCGAGAATTCTTCACAGCTATGTAGAACATACTTCATGAAAGAACAGATGGCATCTCTTCTTTTTTTTCTCTCTCTTTCTCTTTCTCTCCAATAAAAATAAAATTGCTTCGCTAACTATAATTTCCGTGTCTTTTTTCTTTCTCATTGCACCTTAATCTAATTAAATAGCACAGCTTATATTGAACACATACGTACATATAGTTTGACGATAACGTTAAATATTTAACTAGTAAAATATAAACGTTGTAACGCATTTTTAAAACGTATAAAAATCGTTATTCTGAAAATATTTGCTGAAACACTTGAAGGTGTTGCCGTAATAGCGTGAGAGATTGTGCTTAATATTACGTTTTCGTAGAACAATGAGCAATTCTACGATAAACATGTTCCCGAGGAAAACGATTAATCCAAGCAATCGCCAGTATAACCCGCCCACTTTCAAGACTGCCGGATACCTTTGTAGCTCGCCGCAACTGCTTCCGTCTCATTCCCCGGTTTCCCAGATGCAGAGGAACTCGCGTCGTCTTCTCAGTTCGTCTCTCCTTCTCTCTCTCTTTTGTGTAAGCGACGGAAACGCCTGGGTCAGCCGGGATAGCATTGCTCCGGTTGGGAGCCACGCAATTGCAGTTGCGGAACCGCGAAGCTCGGCGGAATTCGAACTAACGGCATTCATCCGGACTCCTTGATACAACCGAGTCGCGCAACTTACAATTATAGCGTGTCCACGGCAAAGCCTCCGTTGCCACCCTCTTACGCGGGCACGCATACTCTCTCGGGGAAACTCAATCTCTCAGACTACGTTCTCCGCAATCACGACGCATTCCCCGCTGCGATCGTAAGCAAAATTCGCTAATGATTTTCGTATCTTTTGTGCAAAACAAACACGTGTTATATAATAAAATTATTGACACTGTGCTCCCGGTAGTTGCGAACTCTAACACGTCACATTTACATTCTCTCTCGCTTAGTTTAGTTGGCAAAATTATCCAATGTTTGTTACCGTAATTGTTTGTCGAAAGTGTGCGGATTATGTCGTTCGGAAATGTTTGCATAAAAGAGAATAATTTTGTCAAGCGCGTTAAGCACCGGAAAAATGTCGTTAAATCTCGAACAAACTGCACAAATAGTTTACATACACTTGTATACACATGTATTAATTAAATCATGTCATACACACACACACACACATCGCGAATACTTTTAAGCCAGCGCACTAGTTCGCCGCATGCAAACTAATAAGTAAAGAGTTATATGCGCGATCCGACCTACGTCGCCCATTCAGCTTGGTCGTTACACGGGTCGCTACCCGATATAGCGGGAAGCTTTAGGTGCCAACTAGCTTTTCAAATTATCATTTAAACGGATTCGGAATTGTCCCAGTATACCCATGCTTTCGAGATTATAGGCCGCCGGGACTAAAACCATTTCTCTCACGGAATTTAATCGGATCCCGACGGAATTCCAGACCAGTCGTCTCGAAACAAATTCACGAAACACTAACTGTGTGTTTCTCGTTTGCTTCCGAAATTCCAAGCAAACCGATAACTGTAACTCGCTCGGACGCCGCAAAACAAAATGCTACGGCGAGGAAAGAGAAACGTTCGCAAATAAAACTCCGATAACAAAAATCCCAAACTCGAAAATATTTTTTTCTCTCTTTCTTTTCTCTCTCTCTCTCTTTTATTTTCTGTCTCTTATTCGCTGCAGATTCCTCTTAAATGCAACTTACAAACTTGTCACGCACGTTACGTTCTGATAACTTGAGAGCAGTCGTACATTGTTCCAAGTATTTAATGAAAATCGTTTTAAATACTGTTTCATTCATTATATATACGCAATTCTGCGACAAGTTTGACTAACGGCGCATGATAAGCAAGCTTCCCGAAGCCCGGAAAGATTCTCTCCAAGTAAACGACGTACTTCGTCATTTACTGTGCGGACGTGACTATACAGCTATTCGATCGCGCCATCAAATTAATCCAGGCGTTATCGGGTAACCTGTATATAGCAAGCACATCATACCGAGACGTGCGAAGTTATTGATCGTAATTATCAGATTTATCTAATCGATACGCGCTTACACATCTACTACCGACACGCTGCAGCAGCATCGTATGGCCGGGCTGGTATCGTTTACGAATTTTATTCGCGTTTGTCTTTTACGACTCATTATATTGCACTTCGCTCGCGTAACTTACACAATCGTTAAGTTCGCCATCACAGCGTCGTAAATATGTTTCCATCGACGATATTGCGCTGCAAGACGTGCATAAAGGAGAGATGCGGGAGGAGGGAAAAAAAAAAGAGAGAAGGATGCAAGTCCCGACGGAGTGAGAACAAAATTATTTCGCGGGCGTAATGGCGCGGATGTATCCAATAAAACAAGAAGGAAGTTGCGCACGATCGATCGCATGAAAACAGAGGCGCACGAAATTTTCTCTTCAGCATGCCAAACCCCGTAAATTTCTGAAGCTATTAAGTTTATCGGCCCGGGTAAGAAGCTCCTAACTTTTATAAATGGTCGTCTTGCTTGCGGTGCGCAATTTGCTCAAAAAAACCTCACCGTTCCTCATTTTACTTAATTCCTCCTCCGCAGCGCGGACGAAATGCGAGAGATCGGAGCGCAGACGTCGGATTATGACAGAAGTAAATATATCATTGCGCTAGAAAACAATCGACTCGTTGTCTCTCTCGTCGATATTTCTATTGGCCATTACGTATCCAAAGAAATATTAAAATGTCAGTATAATTAACGACAATTTGATGACCGATTGAACGTGTATAAAAGTCACATCGTTATTCCGTCTAACGCGATGATTTGTATTATTTTTCGAACGTTCGATCACACATGCGCGCATCTGTGGTAGTAATACTATCAACGAACACAGATCTTTTTATTGTTCGGTAACATTATATAAAATATAAAACGTGTCAGATTTACTGTAATTTTATACAGATACCGTCACAGATCCAACGCGAATCAAACGTTTATTAATAATTAAATCAATTCTACATTTTGTTTGATGGATAATAAATAATAGTTGTTCGCGCGAATAAACACACATGACTGTGTACAAAGAACAGGAACACGTACGGCATGTCTCGCGAAAACATCCTCTTTCTTTCTCGCAAGATAGTAAATAATTTCACTTTGTCACACAACCACGACGTCATTGACAAGTTTATCCACCAAATTCGGATTGACTGAGACGGAAGGGCTGTGGTGCGTTTTCGAAACTTTTTTGCTATTTCGCTTTCCGTTAACAATTCGTCGAAGCCTCTTACGGTCCTTTACTCTGACAGAATTGATCTTCGCGAGAAGCGGCGAGGGCATCGACAATCTCGCGAATCGCATGGCGATACGATTCGCGCGATCCAATTCGTCGCCAGTTGGAAGAAAATAACGACCGCGGTATCTTCGCAGAATACCGTACTTCACACCTCGTTTCAAAGCCGCATTCACCTAAAAAAAAAAAAAAAAACAGTACCGCGAATGTTCCAAAACTTTGCAGAATAAAATGATATTGTCAAAAAATATCATAGCATGTACGTATTTCTCAATTGTAATCGCGCAGATATTAAATAATGTGATTGCGTAATTTTCTTTCGTTACATGTCTGAGAAACGAGCTTTACAAAATGTTTGAATTTCTATCCATTAAAATATCGTTATTCAGAACGAATCGCGGAATTGACATGAACTTGGCACTCGTACGCGCTTTACATACGCATGCCCGTGACAGTGATTGATATGAGAAAGTAGAAAAAAATTTTTTTTAAATTTTCTGACGTGTTGAATTTAATTTCGACGTTATCGTTCTTTCAGTTAAAACAATGATACTGAGATAATTATATAAGATATTCGTTAAACTTGACTAATATTCGTCATGTTACGTACGAAATAAAGTCAACAATGTCACATATAAATACACAAATTTGTACACATATAAATAAACAAATATTTAATTAAAATTATATATCCGAAGCACTCACTTGCCGTTTGACGCGTTGTTCAGGCAAGCTCGAGGCGTAACTAATGTATCCCGTGATTTGTTTCGATGTAGATCCTTTGGTTTCCCGTAAGTCCTGTATAGCAGAGACGACTAGAGCAGCGACTTTCATAGGTCTCACTCTTTTTTTCTTCTTTCTTACGTCTCCCTTTCCGGTCATCCTTGACATTTACTGTTACGGCGCGTGTAATTCACGTTATTTTACAGAAATAACTTTTATTGTTTTGCGAACAAAGTAGAATTTGCATAATGTGATTGACACAAGAAATTTATATCAACGAGTCGACGCGTTGTCAAAGAATTCTTCGTTACTATCGATTGTGTTTTATCAGTTGTTTCGATCGTCGAAACTATACAAGTTCAAACTATATTCACACGAAATATAACTGTCTATCCTAAAATATCAAAATACCTACTTATTTAGTCAGTATCTAATTTCTAATTAACACATCACAAATTAATTATTTTAATGAAAGATAACCTATTATATTGATTTAAAAATTATTATGTATTTACATTTAAACGTGCAACTTGCACAATTTCGCTCAAAAATCTAGTATTTTTCGCCGCAAAATCACGCACTCACATAAAAACTCTCTCAGAAACGCTAAATAATACCGTGTGATAAAGAGAAAAAATAAAATGCAAAAAGTGCCGTAAATACTAATAGTCTTATGTTGCAGCAGAGTTTGTAGAACAAATGTGACATCACGCTGTATCGCAACTGCGCCTACGCAATGCATAAAGCTTGCATTATTATTATTATTTTTTTTTTTTTGTATTTTATGTTTTACACGCGCTCACCTCGAGTGAGCTTTATCGGCGTATTCTCGGCGCGCATTTTGCCCTTCTTGTCCCCCAATCAGTCAACTTTACGATAGGCATTACTTTCTTGGCGAATGAAAAAAGGCAACCGTTGAATAATACATCGCCACCGGCCGGAATGCACTCGCATAGGGTATCAACTCCCGGAGGGGAATGCAATCGTCTTTTTTTTTTACAGTCCCTGGCCGGAATATGCGAATTAGTCATCGCATGAGGAAGAAAAAAAATGAGACGACGGCGATACGCAGAACGGGAGCATTACCGCAGTGATTGATGGTCGGACTGTGTGTGTTATCAGCTGCAAACGAAAGTACACGGCGCGCAATAAGCTCGAAAGTCAGAATTGTTATGCAATCATATACGTGTCCCGATAAGACCCGACCGCTAATAACGGCGGACGATACGTTGTACAAAGAAATTCGCACGCGACCGCCGCAAAGCCCAGCAATATCCGCACGCAAGCGCCCGCGCGCACATTTGCATAATAAAAAAAAGGAATACAATTACGCGGCGAACGGCCATGTCGGCCGTTGCTCGGGAACGTATTTTTAGCTGTAATCGGCTGGTATTAATCTCCGCGAAACCACTTAATTTCACGCCGCGTTGAATCGCGCCAGTTTTTCACTTTCGTGTGTGTGACTGCGAGCGAGTGCTTATAATTTCAAGATTTTTAACCCCTCGTGCAGCTATTATCTTGTTTTTGTTTTTTTTAATTTACTACGTAAAATTACCGACAATTCCATTCCGACGTGTCATTATTATGTCCGCGCGCTTCGCGTTTGTTTACAAGCAATGTACACTGAAATTTGATGTATAAATTTGCGTGTGTAAAAAAAAAAAAAAATAAAACTCTTTCGCAAGGTAAATCTCAACAAGCGTGTAATTTCATGTTTCAACGTATTCTCGCTGCACGCCGTTTTATTTTTTCAATCAAATGGAAAAAACATGTTTCTCACGTTCTACGCGTACTAACACAATATTTCGCATCACAATTGCTTATTAATTCTCACGTGTAATTGAAAATGCAACGCGCGATCTTCAATGCAAGCCGAATTCCTCCTTCCGGTTTGTCGGCAGATTAAGCACGTGTCAAGAAATATCGAAACAAATTTATTCGTATCGAGAGTTCAAAAAAAAAATAAATAAAAAAAAAAACATTCCTAAAAATAATTAACGCGCGTAACATCGACTATTTAAATTCTCAACGGTAATAATAATCAAAGCCACCGGTCGTGGATATTACGTGATGACAACGGAATTTGCAATACGTTTAACAACGACAGAATGAAACATCGCGGCGCGCTATTTAAAAAGCAATAATATGCGAACATCATCAAATATATCAGTAATACCGCTATTGTATTTCGCATACGTTCACGATGTTTGTTACGATCAGTTTGTTGCCAATATTTACTACAGTCCGCGTAAAGTTCCATCGCGAACAAACTAGACAAAATGAAACAACGTTGAACTTGTTAAACTGCTGAAATTGTATTATCAAAGCCGTATGTTTTTCGTGTAAAATAATGTTTCAATATTTTATATTACTTCTGTACCTTATACGTGTGTTCGTGTGTGTATACACGTATACGTCACGGCTGTTTGACACAATTTTCTATATTTTAAATTAAAAAATATTTAATTTAACAATGTTTCGATGAAACCTATTCTTTCTTTGTGCTCAAACAATAAACACTCTTTGATCGATTTTAATATATTTTGCATTTCGTTTCGCTTTTTTATATTTGAGCGTCGAAAAATTTTTTATATTTATGTCGATATTTAATTCGTCCGTGTGTAAAACATCCTTCCTCGGCTGTTTCACACGTGAAAACATCTTGGCGAAGTAAAGTGTCATAAATTAATCGCGGCATATCAAGCACGATCTAATACATTCCCTGCGGCAGCTTCGTTCCCTTCTCTCCTTTCTTCCGGCTCATGAGCGTCGATTATTATCCGCGCAATTACCGCGTCGGTAGCTCGCGGTTAGGAAAATACCGATTCCGAGCTGCTCACGGCATGTGAGCAGAAATTTATTAACAGGCATGCGTGATCGCTTATGCACGTACGTAATAAGGTTTAAGCGACGTGCAGGGCGAATTATTAAGCGAGCTCGAACGGCTATCGGCTTCGACAATGCGTTCGGCCATGCTTTATCGTTTAATATTCTAAGTGGTCGTATAATCAAGTGACGTTACCACACTCGTAAAATGCACCGGAGCGAGCTAATTACGGACGCGTTACGTTATGCGCATAGATTTTAGCGGCGACCGTCTGCCAGAAAATCCGCAAAATATTATATTTTACGCCGCATCTGCTGAAATATGCTGTAGACTAAAAGTCTCAGCGCGATGTGAGAACGCGCGCTAATTTATTACACAGGGCAAATCTGTTTCCCGTGCACGTATTATTTTATGTACATAAGCGTGAAATTGTATAAAGTGTGATAAGTTTTTAAAAAAAACTAAAAACAACCTTCTTTAGGTTCAATAAGCGCGTCAAAAATTGTACAACAATTTATTTGAATTTTGCGTCAATTTTTTTCACAAAATTAGCGAACGCTAAGTTTACTCGATAGTTTCAACGAACACTTATTAAGATTACATTCGGTGTGTATGTATCAACTTTTCTCCGACATTTAGACGATTATCGTGTTTTTAAATTAAGTTCTGTCGATGTCAATATCGTCTGACATTGGAAATCTCTGATATAAAACGAAGTTTTCGCTAGGAAAGCGGTCAATACAAGGAAGATCAATTAATCTTTCGTTCTTCGAACGGTTGTTGCTAACAAGACGACGAGGATCGTGTACGTGCGGTCGTGCAATTTTCTTTCGTCGGGAGTAAAGTCGGATGAGAAACTCGCGCAAAATAACGGCATTAAAGCAACGGAAAAGAGAGAAAACAGAAAAGAAACGTCGACGAAACGCAAATTCGTGATCTTTGTTAATTTGCGCAACGGAAAGTTCTACTACGGAGATTGCATCCTATCAAGATCATACCGCGCGCGCGGTTTTTCGAAAAATCGCGGCACCGCATCCAAAGGACCTTCAATTACAGTCGCATTTCAATTGCGTTACTTGTTTTCTTCGTTTGCTTAAACCGTGATCAGCGCAAAAGCCACTTCTCGGAGAACGCGATCCCTCATTATGCGCGCTGCCGCGCGTATAAATAGTTTTTAACGAAACGTAATCCGTTGCAGCGCGACGTGGCGGCGGGCGATTACGGTGCGATATAGCGCAAATACACGTTGTTCAATTATTTCATATCTGGTTACGCGATAAATCTCGAAATCGACAGAAGGTCCAATCCGGGATTGCGTGGAGCTTTGTGAGATATAACGGTGCCGACTCTCTCTCTCTCTCTCTCTTCCTCTCTCGGACACATCGCCCCGAATGAATGTAATTTGCGAGCGAATGATTAATGGCCGTCACACAGAGCGAGCCCTGAGTAAACTACTGGCGATGCTCTTCTTCGACTTTCCCATGAATAGATTACGTACATATAAGCGGACGCGGCGAAAGGGGAAATGGCTTTGGAGTTTGAGCGCGCTACGGAAGTTTCGAGAACCACTGCGTTAAATAGAAGATACCCCCGTGGAGGGTTATGCGTGATATGCGCCCCCGCTGTTAGACGTATGCGAGCATACGTGGCACACCGTGAGAGTTGGAAATGATCGATCCAGAAACAAGCGGGATCGGACGAAAGCCGGCAGACTTGCAGACCGAACACTTTAGTCAGTATGCAGAATGGAATGGCGGGGTGGCGCATCGTGGGAATTACCGACGTTCCGATGCATCATTGCAGGATTGTGCAGTTTCCGCACAGGGCCGTAACCACCGATTGGACCTTCCCGAATGCAATTGATCCATAACCAATAGCTGCACTCGCGCTAATACCATAACACTCGTACGTCACTAACATCTGAAACTCCATTGATTACGCGCTAATTCCCGGTCGCTCGGTGCTCGAGAAACCATCTTTAATAAATTTAAATTATTCAGATGTCCAGCGCTGACCAGCGCGCGCGTTCACCTGTCTGTGTGAAAAACACCTGTATTTTCTACTGTACGTTTATAGTGAACACGTTTTTTTTTTCAAAAATATTGTGTATTTTTATATGTTTAATCACTTCTACGTAACTCTATATGCAAATAACCCCAGATCGACAACATCTTTTACGTACTAAAACACGTCAAAAATTTCCGTTATCAATTCGAAATGCAGATAAGCCGAGCTAGACAGCTTTACTGCCGGCTCCCTGGGATCTGCAACGCCATCGGACCTCATGAAGAATTCACCCCGGCTAGAGTATATATTCTGGACGACGTTCGAGCCACGAAACTTGTTGTTGCACTAGCAGTATCTTGCTTGAAACGGGCTCCACGGGGAACGGCGTGCCTCGTTAATACTTTAATTTCGTGTAGCAGCTTTCTGTAATACTGCCACGACCCGACAAACGTAGTCT